ACACCTCCACTTAATTGTGACGCTGTATCATTGCAAAAAGTAAGAATGGCAGAACTATTCTATAGTTGTTAATCGTGTAGTATGATATAAAACTACAGTCAATGCCTATGAGAAGCAGCTGCTGCAAGAGAGGGAGCAAAGCACACTCACTAATTTCTGAAGGTTGGATGTTTGACATCAGAAGACTTGTGCCCCAGAAGAGAGAACCTCTGGAATCATCCCTCTCTTATCTGCTGCTCACTGGCTTGAGGCAGAGCAGAGATGAAGCAACCCTAAAACTTCCATACTTTACATTCAGCATAAACTGATTGCATTTTAACTTTAAATGCGCACTAACTGATGGAAATCAGAAACAGCTGTGCTTAGTAGTTTAAAATATAACAAATCTCTTGGATTCAAGATTGAGCAAACTAGTTATGTTAGTTTTTGTGATACAAGAGCTTGTTGTAGATTAGGATTAAAGGGTAATTAAAAAAAAGGGCTACAGTCTGAGTAAGAGGACTAAACTGTTAATAAAAGTTTGCGCATTTTTAGTTTATGGACATTTAACCTAAAGCTGAAGTATATGCACTTTCCATTTCAAGTAATTTCATGGAATAGGTTGTTCCTTTTTCTCTGTAGCAGCCTGTGCTTTTACGGTAATATGCACACATTTATTATCTTCCTAGTATATATTTGTGTATTACATAAATAGTTTTATTTTTCTCTCTACTGTTTATGAAAGCCACAGAGAACTGGAAGTAACTATGCAAGGTGCAGAGAGCACAAGCAATAATTTGTTGTCCAATAATAATGAAAAGAGGTTTTCAGAAAATCACTCATCTCTAAATTCTAGTGATTCTGTGAATTGATGAAGCAGTGATGATAACAACCACTGTTAGGATTACTTTGCAGAAATTAATGTTTTTTTTAAATTGTACCATAAAATGAAATAACTGACAATAACGTATTTTACTAAGAAAAAGTCAAGAATGTGCCAACAGTTAAGGGAGTAGTGGTTACCCTACATATCCTTGTGTGGTAATTATGGGTATCAGTTTCTTTACTTGCATCTGAGTTGTCAGGATTCTCGATTAAGAGGTTTTTTTTCTTTCTAATTTTATGGTGTTGTATACGATGGGTAGCATCAGATTAAATTCTGCAATTCATTCTCATATTATTCATTTTAAGTTTTTACTTGAGAAATTACTTTACGAAAAGTGGAGCCCTTATTCATCTGTGATCTGCCTGCAAAAAGACCTTACTTTTGTGATACTGTCTGTTGCTCAGAGGCACAAGTTCCCATTCCTCTCAGCTTCACCTATGCTATTTTGTCAGTTTGCCAAGTGTTTAAAAAGAAAAAAAAACCCAACTTGGTAGGAGCAGCCACACACCACACACCAAGCCGGTGCAGTAGAATCTTGGGGGAAAAAAAGAGTGTGCTTTTTTATACTTCCACCTTTTAATGGGCTAACTTATCCTCATCTATGTTGACGGAGTTGTGTTAATGTTAATGGGGCTCAAGTTGAGCCCCATGAATGACAGCATGGGAAAACCTGCCTCCAGAAGAACCACCACGCTAAAGTCATTGCACATTGCACTTAAGAAATGTCTTCCTTAGAATCCTTTTTTTTTCCCTCTGTCTTTATACTACATCAGAAAAAGAGAATGAGAAGAGATTTCAGGTTTGGTCCTTTAGCAAATTAATTAGGGTAGAAAAAATACTCTTGCTATTTATACTTAAAATGTTAACAGTCATTCCGTGTTCTGTAATGAGTCTGCATATTTACTGACTGGTCTGATCATGAGCTCTCAGGTATCAAAGACCCGGTTCCAGATAGGGAAATGAAAGTAGAAGAAAAAAAGGTGACTTCCTATCTGAGGAAAAAAATCTCATATCAAAGCAAACAAAAAAGTTGTAAAAATCATAGGAACCTCCTGAGAAAAGAGTTTGTCTGTTTGGAGAAAATCCCAGAATGGTTGAGGTTGGAAGGGACCTCAAGCGGTCATCTAGTCCAACCCCCTGCTCAAGCAGGGATACTTAGAGCACGTGGCACAGAGGAATATGGTTGTAAAATGGATTGACTTCAGTTATCCAAAATACAGCCAGTGGTATGAAGATCTGGTTGTTGTGTATCAGGTATTCAGCGTGAGATAGAGAGAACCTCGAGTTTGTTTTCTGCTGCCTCAGAGAGAGCATTTTCTGCTCTCTAGTTAATGCCCATACAATTGTGGGGGTGGAAGAAATTGGCTTTCTAGCACATTAATGTCCTGTTGAATGACTCAGGCTGGTGCAACTTGCTGATGGACACACTGTATGGATGTTAGTGCCGTGTTTGGAATAGATAAATCTTTATTTAAAAAAAAAAAAAACAGATTTGTTTAAAAACAGATTAATTGCTGTGGGGGTCGGGAGGATTAGACCAAATGTGTTTGTTCATTATAACCTACTTTATAAATGCTGCATGACTGAAAATATTCTTTTAACTACTGGCATATTTCTTCTGTGTTGATCAAGTCTTAAAATGCTAATTACAATTCTGTTAGCACTCCTTTAAACAAAAAACAGTGTAAGGAAGCCAACTAAGAATTAACACCATACAGCAAATGATTAAAAGCATAGTGTTTAAAAAAATGATTCGTGTAGTTATGCTGTATCAAAAATGAGGAATGAAAATGATTAAGAATTAGGCTTGTACTTCTGCAATCATTAGTACGATTTTTGGAAAGATTAACTCTCAGTTCAGCTGATATTATATATTCTGTAATATAACCTCTTGTGTTCCTTAGAACAAGATGTCTTGATAATACCATATGAATTAGAAAAGAACTTTTAAAAGTATTTTCTTCCTGTACATGTATGTTTTTATAAGCCCGTCAACCATCAGGAGATGCTTGTTTTTTGAATAGAAGTTCTATCCTAGAAGTATTTCTTATTAAATGGTTTGCTCCGAGTAAGTCAAAATTTTCAACATGAACACATTAAAGATAAGATTACTTCATCAGGCCATATGACATGGCTGGGGCACGTGTCATAAGTTCTGAGACCAGCTGTGAGTATCTAACATGCCGCAGAGTAGTCACTGGTAAAAAAAGGTTATATGACTTGATGAAAACAAACATAGGAAAGCCTCAGGCAAGCATCAGCAGAAAGGACAAAAGAAGAACAAATAAGAACTTCTTTAGCCTATTGAGAACAACTGTTTTGCATTATGTTACAAAATTTTGCTTTGAGATTTCCTCCTCTGGCTTTAATTCTACTGATTTTCATAGAGTTATGTCTTCTTTGAACCATGGAAGAGTCATTCCCATGTTGCCCTATACTTACAAGATACCATTTCATATGCTGGTCAGAGCTAGATTTGCTTAATTATGTGGCCATTTGCAAATATTAAATTGCTTAATTAACTTTCAAAAGCAGGTACAAGTATACTTAGGCTTGGTGACTTGTTGCTGCTTTTGTAACACACCTGTGTTGCTTCGATTTCCTTTTTTTTTCGGAAATTCATTTTGATTGTATTGCAGCTGAGGAGAGTTAAGAGTGTATTGTTTATGGGCAGTTTCACTAAGGAACAAAACATGATAGATCATATGGTTCAGTTGTGTGCAGAGAACAATGTGTAAACTTTTCAGATTAAACATTATTTTAATTATTGTAATAAAGTATTTCTAGAAAGAATATTTCTAAAATTTTTAAATCTGCTTTGTTTTCAGGCATTGCAATTTCTGATGAACTTGATAAGGTAAGATTCACCGTATGCCTAATGAACAATAAAACCAGAGAGATAGTAATGGTAATTTAAGGCAATGAGAAATACATTTCTCTGTCCTGGTATACGTACTTCAGTTCTGTTGCGTTCAGAGGGAATTTGGGTAGGGAGAGCTGTTGAGGAAGTACTGTACATGTGGATACATTAAGAGCTTAATCCGGGATGGGCTCTCAATTGTGGAAGAAATCTCATTCAGTTTAAGAGACCCTTAATGAGCCCAGGTGAAAGCTGCTGAGCTTGATATCATCTGTATGTAACGTCATCTATTGAGTTAGCTTAGTGATATACTACTGGGAACATTTAGCTTTAAATACTTTTAATTCATGAAGTCAGGTTCTTGGGTACAATTATACCCAATAACTGTATAATTACCTTACCTCAACTGTTACGGTGCATGAAAATCCTTGGAAATATTCTTTAGTCTCCAGATGTAATTAGGAATGCACAATCCATAAAAATCCATCTTCATTTCCTTGCTGAATGCAATACATAAGGATATCTTCCATTTGGCCCTTTTGAGAAGTTACGTAGTTAATGTGAATTTAAATTTTAGCTGTAATGAACTCTATGCTGAAAGAGCAGTTAAGCAAATTTTTTCAGTTTCAGGGATATAGAACACCTGTCTCTTCCCCGTTATCTTCACTGAACAGCAGGTTTTTTTAGAATAAGAATCTTGGGTTATTTTCATGGTATCAGAAATTGTTACTATCAAGATAAAAAGTGTGAAAAGCACAGGCCTAATTATTAATATAGGAGACATTTTTTTTTCTCCCTGTCTTTCTTTCTCATGGCAAAATGAAGGTACCATCCCTTCTGGCCCCAAAGCCTATGCAATACAACCCATGGCTTCTCAGGCAGGACAGTACCGAATAGTCCTGTGCATATGGGGCTGCCACTGCAAAACAAACCCTCATCATTTTGACCTGGATCTTGCTGTATCTCATTTTCCACACGGAGGGGGGATACAGAGTCCAAGCCTTCCTTCTTATCATTTTTCAGCTGTGCTCGGAAGAGTATGAGAAATACAATTACAAAAGGCCTTCCATTAGAACAATCTTTAAAAATATTTACAAACAATTTTTTTTTTGTGAAAAAAACATGAAATATCACTGTTTTGTGGAAGGAAAATACATTTTGGGGTGAAGCCCCTGTGACATGTCTCCTCCATTTTGTAGGAGCTCAAAAATCATAAAATCATTCATGCTTTTAAATTTAACAATTCTGTGTGAAAATTTAAGTGGAGAGCATCACTAATTGGTATTTTGCAGTCTGAACAAAGACTGAATTTTGTTTTTGTTACCACATTATTTTATTGTTCATAATCTAAAATTAAAATATTTATTATAAAACTTAAGATACATCTTTTAAATACTCTCTGGCACCTTTACAGTAGGGCATTTACAGTGTCCATTGCTGAAGAGAACAGGTAAAGTGAGTGTGTTTGAAATCAAATGCTATTTGGTGGGAGGAAAACAAAAATACAGAGCTCTTAAAATTCTTGTTTTTCCAGCCTCGTTTTAAAGGCTTCCAGGATGGATCACTGAAAACATGTAATTTGTAGTCTGCATTGTCTTAGGGGAGTTTCACTACTATTTCTTATCTTGGCCCTTAGGGATTTTTAATGGACATAAAGGTTGTTTCTGTTTTGAGAGATAAAGCATAGCCAGGATCATTTGGTTGTATAGAACTACCTGAATTCGTGTTGCTAAGCTCCCTTTATAGCATGTGCTAGCTCCTGAACTGCACCTGTGACCTGCTTGTAAAAGTGTTATTTGTATTAGGTCAAAGAGGATCTGGGGGACTGTATGTTAGTAATTTAACAGTGTATTTAATTTAGTTTCATTTCACCTGGGCATGGCCTAAGCAATGTGGTTTCCTTTTTCTTTTCTTCTTTTTTTCCCTGGAATAAGTGTAGCCAAGTTCATTGTTATTCCCTGCCCTGCTGATACTACAGCTTCCTTATCTGGGCTGCAGCAGTAGTGAATCCTTTCTCAAACCACATTCTAATTTGTGTTTTGGATTAATCGTTTGGCCTTTCAGGTGCAAGTGATTGTTCTAGAACAGCATGCCCAACCTCGGCATGGAATTCTGTTCTAAAATTTGTATTGCTTAGGTGTTGTGAGAGACATAAAATTAAGCACAATAAGAAATTCATCTGCACACTCTTCCTTGCTTTGTTTTTCTGATAAGTGGGAATTAGGACAGAGCCTATAATCTTGCTCTTCTGCATTTTAGTTTCTGAATCAAGAGAAGATAGAGAATGTGTATGTACATTTCTTTATTTCTGTTTCTTCTTATATATGTTTGCAAAATAGCCTCTTTCTAGCTGCAGCAAACTCTAGCTGCCCCTTACAGGAGAGTTTCAGTAAGTAGTGTCAGATGATGTACCTGCTTCTCCAGATAATCCAGTTAACTACTTACTTGCTTAGTTACTCCAGCATCTGGATTTGGAAAACCAGTTTGCTCTCAATTACAATCACTTTTGTGAAGGGGCATTTAATTTAAATATCAAGTCAATTAAGACTTGAAATAAATATTCAAGTGAAATAACTGCTATTATTAGCTTTGTGTCAGTACTTTGGATTTCAGTTAAAGACAGAAAAAAAATAGGACAAAAAATATAGACAGATAAGGTCAGTCTTTCATTAATAAGGGAAGTTTTCAGTTTCAGACAATTTTATTTAGACGTTTCAGAATTTCACTGACACCACTGCAAACTAAAATTCCTATGATTGCTGCAATTAAAACATATTTGTTATATAATTTTCTTCCTTCATTTTATTCTGTTAGACTTTTAATGTCTGGTGTTCCATTTCTCTGGTGATTCAGCCTCCTTTCGTACACCCTGGAAGCCAAATAAGATGAGCAGCTGACACTGCAAGTACTGTGTGTACAGAAAGAAAATGGGGAGACATGATGTGTGACTCACAGATTTTAAGACTAAAGTGCAGAGTTAATGTAATACAAACTGCTGAATTGAGTCACCTTCTTCATCACTGAAAAGGAACTGTTGTTCCTGTTGTGTAGCATTCCTAAAGCTCCTCATTAATCCCAAAAATCTTGCTAAAGAGATAGAGATTTTGAGCTATGATAATACCTTTGCTGTGAAAATTTATAAAATTGTTGAACTGAATATTTATGAAATGGTTAAAAAACTATAAAGAAAAAAATAATTGTTTTGTGATGAGTTTCAGGATTTTTCGTAAGGACTTGCCTGGGAAGCAGAAGTTTTAGTTTACACAGAATTGCTGTGTGATGCATAGCAATAAAACATAAGTTGGATACTGCAGTGCAGAAATAAGTTTGAATGGGATTTATGCAGTTATACCTGTGCTGGCAATATTTCTGGATGAGGCTGTACAAGATATGGAGTCAAATCCGTGACCTCTTGACAGAGCTGGAGACCTAAGTTAATGATATTAAACAAATAAATTAAAAAAGGAGGATGGAGAAGAAAAGGATTATTCCTCTTCTACCTTTTCATTCTCTAAGAATACTCCCCAAATGTTTTCCAAACCTTTTCCCTCTGCAAATATAAAAAATATAAAATAATATAAAAGGGAAATATAAAAGATTTACAAATGCAAATATATAGAAGATATATATTCTATATATTATATAATATAAAGGATAGACACATGCTTTCAAATAAAATATGGGATTCTCACATAATCATAATATTCCAAGTATTGGAACTTCACTGAAAATACTATGTAGTATGAGCCCTGTCATACCACTATGAGGTTTGTATGGAATTCCAAACTATTTTCTTTCTTTCAGTCACTAATGTATTGGAGAACCTGAATCAGACATGAATTAATATGATCTAATAAATCATAACACATTTTGGCCCTCAAGCTTAATGTTTTCTCTGTGCTGCGTCTAGGGTGTACTTTCTTTTTACGTGTAGTAAGTAGGTAGTACTACAATGAAGGCCAGTACTAGTTAATAAGAGAGAAAATGTTTAAGGCATCAGAAAAGAGAATTATGCTCACCCCAAAGTTTCTTTTGATTGTAGAGCAATTTCAAAATGGAACATGGAGCTTTTTACTCTATACCTAAATGAAGGGTTCCATGAATGCTGCTGTGCTCCCAGGAATGGAATTCATACCCCAGTCACATCTCAGTCCAACACTGAGGTGACATTCAGCTGCCTTCCCCTTCTTCTCCTGATTGCCGCAGCAAGGAATCTTGAGCATGTCAAGTTGGTAACCACTGGAGTGGATGATAAATGACCAAGACACTGGAGTGCACTTTAAAATAATCCTCTAGATTAATTTCAGGGCAAATTTAAATACTTTCTTGTCCCAAATAAATTTTTGCGTATACCAAAGTCACTTTCAATTTCTTCTGGTATTTATGGGGATGTAAATTGGAAAATGGTTAAGATTTTAAGTTTTATATAAAAATGCATATATTAGCTTACCTGTGACAGAATACTTCATCTGAATTTATTGAAGCTTGTGAAGTAAGGTGTCTAATAATGGCATGGTGTCCTCAGAAGAACTTTCTCTGATTTGCCAATTACTGTTCTCATTGTGACTGCTTATGTACTTGAAAGGAGGAAGATAAATTAGATCATTGAAATTGTGGAGTATTAATCTAACAAAATTCTAAAATCTTGGCAAGGGAATACAGTGAGGCAAGACACATCTCTTTTACACTTCTATTAAATAGAGCTTGAAAGCACTACTGTAGAGGATGGTCTAGTCTGTACAATATTTAGAAAAGAAATCAGCATAGCAAGGTATGATTAATGGTTTATTTATTATTGTGTTATTAGCACAGTGTACAGTGTCAGCGAAAGGCTGGGGTTCTGAAAAAAAAAAGGCAAATCTTTAAGTGCTCTGCACTGTCATTTTACAGGACTAATAGCTTTTAGCACAATTGAAACTGCAAGTAGATGCAGGTTTAACTAGCACCAACATCTAGTTTTCATTCATTGTTTAAAAATTATCCCAGGGAGAAAGGGAGGGGAGCAGACAGCTAAAATATCAGGAAAAGAAGGGGCCAAAGGGTTCTCAGTTAAAGTGACTAATACAAGCATCTGCTACAATGATGGTATTTTGTGCAGTGGAATAGTATTTGTGTTTGTAGGCACATGGTGGTAGTCAGGATTATACCTATTATGTGACACAGGCTACTCTCATCTAATTTACTTTACCTAGCTATAACACAGCACAAGTAGGTAAGAAGTAAAATGTATATTTTAACTGCTTTAAAACAGAATAATGGTTAAAAATTTTAAAATCTCTGAAACAATACTGTTTTCCTCATTTTTCTCTCTTCTGTATTAGCTTCAGTCAGTTTTCAGGGGACATACTATCAATCGGATGTCAACCTTGCCAAAAATGAATATGTGTAAAAAGTGAATCTAGTGAAGTGATGGAGAACTCTGAACAAAGATACAGAGAGCGGAGTCATGATGCCCTCAAAAGGATATCATAGAAAAAGAACAAAAGAACAAGGGTGAATAAGCCTAATCCAGGAGCTATTCTGTATTTGGCTCTGTCAGATAAAATTTCTTGGGATTCTTCCGGACAAAATGAAATTATAGAATGTAGATAGAATGGGATAAATGTATTCATATAAAAATCCTTTTTTTTTTTTTCCATTTCAGGATTAGAGACTTCTCTTTCAGATTGTGCTTTCAGCATGATCTGAATCAATTTAACCATTAGCAAGATACTTTTAAATGGTTTGTTTTTAGAAAGATAAGAAGGTATGGTTGCTCACTAAGTAATCACTGATGCTCTTTGTTTTGGAAAACATTATTTTGTAGCAGGAATATTTAATGAGATACTGAGCTGGATAACAACCAAAAAGATTTGTCTTCCTAAAAATTTCTCTCATTAAAAGACAGGAATAGAATATATCACTTCTAATTAGGAACACTTCTTTTGAAATGCCTTTCCTAACCCAGAGATGGATTTTGTTAAAACAGAAAAAAATATTCTTATCCCATCATTTCGTTATGGAAATTTTGATTTATAAATACCTTTCTCTTTTTTGCCTTTTTTGACCATGCCATTGTATATAACCTTCCATTGCATGCAACCATAACAATATGAGCACAACCTTGGAACAGCTTTTACCATACAACTTAGACGGACAGTGTTTCTTTAATCTAAATTTCTAATGTAGTGATGCAAATCATCAATATTGTTTTGAATATTCCAGATAGATACATTTTGTTTGCTTTTTGTAATCTTCTGTACATATCTTCTTCCTAAGTGGTAAAATATATGATTACTATTTTCAGAAATGCATTTTATTGGAATGTTTATGCATTTCCAGAATTCAATGGTACATTATATAAAATCCCAACAGAGTTGCTTTTAAAATGCCCAAAGAAGATTTATGTATTAATTTTGTAATAATTCATAGTGATTGTGCTGTTCATTATGCAAGAGGTGTAAGCAGCTGTTACTTAACGTAACTGATACAGGGCTACTTCTAAGACTAGTGCAGTTATTAAAAAAAAAAAGTTTTTCAAGATGGAATTAAATAAAGTCCAGCTTTTTACAGTTGTTCTTGAAAAGCAAGGAGGGGAGATTTGGAACATCAGGATAGTCAGATCTCTTGGAATTTTGCTAGTGAGAATCTTTTCAATAGTCCATAACTGTTTGTAGGTGTTATCTGGGCCTCTGAATTTTTTGTGTTGTACTATGTATTTAGCAATTTAGTTTTGTTTTCCACATTTCTTCTTTTCTTTCCCTGCTTACCAGTGTGGTTGGGAAAAAACAGCGCAGACTTTTTATTTATTTCTTTTCAGGACACAGCAGGTTTTAACACTCCCCTTCTCAGACCTCGTGTAATTGGAGAGTGGGTTGGTCGTGAAGAGAATGATGCAGATCCACTGGCTGCTGAGATGTTGCAACCACCGATACCAAGAAGTAAAAATGAACAGTGGGACAGTGAGGATAGCAGCAGTCCTGGAGGAAGGTGGGATTTTGGTTTTGCCTGGAAATCTTACAATTTGTGAAAAAGAGGTTTCTCTTTAATGTCTTAAGAGTGGAACAAAGGGCTTTTAAATTCCCATCTCTAGTGTGGCAGGATGCAAAATGTATGGGACTCATTAATTTGTCTTCTAAGAGTTTTGCCTGTGTTTTTTCTTTATACTCATCTGCAATCTCATTTTATTCCTATGTAAAGCAAAGTGTGGGACCTATGCTTAATAATTTTATGATGTACAACCTTAATCTGATATGTCAAGCCCTTCTGTCCTTCAGTAGGTAGAAGCTGTTTCTTAATCTGGATGTGTTAGTGATAAATCATTCCCATTTAAGATATTCCCATTTAAATGAAATTTTTGGACAGGATTTCCTAAATTAATTATCAGTTCTCAAAAGTAGCATCAAAACTCAAAAGTGTTAATGGTAATTCTTTCTCAAAGACAAAATTGCATTCTCTGCAGTAAATACCTTCTGATCATTCACTGCAGTCAGTTGCAACTTGACTGAGGATGAGGGCAGTCTGCTTGTTTGTTTATGTGTTTTCGCTGCACAGAAGAGGTGGTTGCTTTTCCAATGAGTACATTCTCCACACCCTAAAGGTGATTGCTTCTCACAGAAAGTGAAGTATGCACAGATGCACAGCCTGTTTTTAATTTTTTTTTTTTGAGTAAAGTTTATGCAGGGCCTCTGTTGATTGTCTGAACACCCTTGTTTTCTCTCCAAATTGTAGACATTTCTCTGATTATAACTAGAAAATTAACTGCAATGGACAGCTTTTTCTTTCTTTTTTTTTTTTTTTTTTAAGAATGCAGAAACCCTCCAATTTCCCTTTGGAACGGTTTAAGCTATTGCTTCACTATGTCCTTGATGTGTCTTTCACGTTGAAATTCTCCTCCCTGTGCCAGAGAAACTAGTCTGTGACTTGCTGTCCTCTTACAGGCTGCATTCATCAATTTTTCTCGCTTCCTCTTTTAATCATATGTCTGTGGGATAAATTGCACATACCTCTATTTCGAAGAAGTAGCAGTGTGTAGCAATGATCCCTCAGCCACACTTTGGACTGGAGTCAAGACGACTAATACTGGGTCTGGGTGGCACTATTGCTGGGAAAGTAATCGAGTCAGCAGCCGGCATTGCAGCTCGACTGTGGGGTCTGCTTTTCTATTTTGCCCTTATTTTGCAGTCCTGTAAGGAAACTCAATAAAGATCTGTTCCATGATGCAGGGAGAGCAGTGGTTGTTGTATCCCTTCTCTCAATGGGAAGGAACAGAAGTTGCATATCCCGACTCTGAAAGAGTGCACAGAGGTTTAGTGCCAAGTAACAAAGATTCAAAGCAGTATTTTTCCATCTGTAGAGGGAAGTAGAAGTTGTGAGAAATCCCACGGCTTGTGAGGTAACGAAAGCTTGTGATTACTGGCTTTAAAAGTATTTAAAAAGCTTTACTGAGTGTCATGACAAAATCACCATTGCCTGGTTGTGCGGAGTAAGGAGAACTTGTAGTGCTTGATGTCAGGAAGGAATCATGGGAAACATATCTCTAGTTTTAACTACAGAGAGTGCTGAGGAGCTTTTGAAAAATATGTGTCATTAAGTGGAAATACAGATTTTCAGGGAAAATGAATAACTATTAAATTACATGCAGCATGTGGATTTACATTTGGATGACCCAATTTACGTCTGGGATAATTTGTTACTTTTTTAGCATCACATCAGGTTTTCTAAGGCATATATAAAAAAACATGTTTGCAGTCTTCCAAAATACATGCATTTTAGCATCACATCAGGTTTTCTAAGGTTTGCAGTCTTCCAAAATACATGCGAAATTGCAGAACTTCATGGTAGTGATGATACCAAAACTGATGTGATCTATGTATGGAAGTTCAAAAGACCTATATTGACCAAGGTTAATCTGAATGTTAATAGCATGGAATTTCTTCATGGTATGATTCAATGTTACTGGGAATTAAAATACTATTAGTAGAATTTGGAATTGGCTATGCTCCAAATATATAAGACAATAATTTAGTTTTAATGTAGCATACCCGTAATACCTCTAAAAGTAATGGGAAGAGTATTGTTTTTATTAGACTAAATGAAACTCTTAAAAGAGCAAAGTTGCTGTCACTTACTTTCATTAATCTATTTCACAGCCAGCAGAGCCAAATAATTCAGTTGCATTTTTGTCTGGCAACTAAAGGAGGGAGCAATTCAAAATTCATATTAAGTGTTTCTGATTATTTGTTTAAAAATCTGATTTATAAACATTACAAGAAACTTTTAATAAAATAGCTTATCAGTCACTTTTTTTCATGATTTATGTGACATGCCAGGAAGCTCTTGAAGCTAATTCTGGTTGAACTACAGAGTAAGAGTAGAGTAGAGTGTCACTGAAATAAGAGTGTCACTGATCACTGATAGGGTTATTTCCATCAGTGCCTTAAGCCACAGACTGTCTCTGTACATTGTTCTCGCAAAGCACAGTGTACATTTTCCTTTTCTGCTTACTGGAAGGGGAAGTCCTAGGTTTTTAAAAAACTCAGCCTTCTATAGGGGACAAACTAGACTGGTATACTTCTGCGGACCACTGCTATTTTGGTTACGTGCTCCCTTTCCAGTATTCTTTTCAACATGAGGCAGAGCATAGCAAGTACATGCAATATGCAAACCTATGAGTATATATTCACAGTACATGCAATATGCAAACCTACGAGTTGCTTGATTTTTCTGTCACTGCAACCATGAACCTCAGTTTTTGCTCCAGTCAGTAGCGGACAGTAGGAAGGAACCACTGTTGCCTCCTTAAGAGTGTACATTCCTGTATTTGTGAGCAATGGAGATTTATATGTTGTGTATCTGAAAATCAAGCCAACTTACTGAAAAGGCAGTGGAGTTAAATTTGAGCAACAGTTTTCAGATGTTTGTAAGAGATCTACATTCCTACAACATGGTTTAAGACAGTCTAGTGCATCTCAGACAACCTCTTGAGGGACACCAAACTTCTCTCCCATGGTCTTTATCTTGGGATTGTAAAGAATCAGAAAAATTGCCAGTAGCTGCAGCAAGTCCTTCTTTCTGCCAACTTCTATGCGTTTCCAGATGCCTGGAAATTTGGGGACACAAGTCAACAATCAATAACCACTCACAGCAGTGCTTAGTTCCCAGTTACTGGTGTGAAGGAGCAATAGCAATTAGTACTTCACCTCCTGTTCTGTATATGTAACGTATTTGGACCTGATTGAATGCTTATAAAGTCAATAGGAGATCTCCCATGCTTGTTCAACCAAACCATTAGAAAGCATGAACTGACATATTCTAATGAGCAGGGATGAGTGATAATCAGCTGATTGTTTGTGGTCTGATGGTATTAATCTTCAGATCTGGAAGACATCACGGGCGACAGTAATTTGACAAAAGTCTGACAAATTTTGTAGAGTCCTAGTAAGAGAAAGTTGTGCTTTCCTCCCTCACAGCTTAAAAATGGAGCCAAAGACCAAAGGACTAAAACAGCAACAGCAGCAACATAAGAAACTGCTGGCTGCCATGCTTTCTCAGGACTCCTTTGATTCTGCCCAAAGCACAGCTCCATCTGTAACCGAAGAAGATATTGACAATGAAGATGATGCAATGGAACTGTTGGGTAACTGCAAAAATTATATGCATTTTCTAATTCTTTTTATTATAGATTTAAAATATAGTAACCAATATAAAAATATAATAACCAATGAAACACAGATTAGTTTGAATCTGCTTCCTCTTTTTGACCCGCAAGTTTAGCAAGATTTAATAGATTTTAATATGTAAGTTTCAGGAATGCATATAATGAAGACTACTATATAACTGTCAACTCTATCAAACTCCCTTAAAAAACAAGCATTTCAGACATGGAATTTATTTGAGACTTCTTAGCTACAAATAGGCAATGCAAATTTGTAACCTCTGCAGGAGTTTTCATGGCAATTTTTCATAGCCTGGATTATACATAGAACTGTTCGGTGGCAGGCTCTATGCTCACTGCTCTCTCCTTGCTCTCCTGGAACAACTACTTAATATCACACAAGAGAAAGGAGGGAAGTTGTTGAAGAAAGCTTATTAATAATCTCCTTTTTGACATTTTTAAAAGCTCCAAAATAAGATGCTTGAAAAGTAATCATTGACTTATTTTTTATTTTTTGGCTAAATATGAAAATGTAGGATCAAAAATGTAGGATCATGTGAAATGCGCAATCTTGAAGGATAGCTCGACATTCTTCTATCTAGGAGTTCTGTGCAAAATATTTGTTCGTAAAGAATTTGAGGTGCAGATTAATCTAAAAATAGAAAAATACCTGGTGCTCTATTATGATGCTGTACTTTAAGTGCAGTTATATTTCTGTTGCTTCATTATTGCAGTTTTCACAGGATCACAGAGTCATAGTATAGGTGAGGTTAGGAGGAAGTGCTATTATCTAGTCCTACACCCTGCTCAAAGCAGTATGAACGAGGGCAGGCTACTCGGCTGGCTTTTGTGTATCTTCAAGGAGGGGTAACTCCACAGCCTCTCCGGGCAGCCTGCTTCAGTGCTTGAGCACCCACACTGTAAACAAGAGTTTTTCTTACATTTAAATAATCAAGAATTAATGTATACTTGTTTTTTGAATAGTTTCAAATTTGATTCATGCAACTGTATTTACAAGAAAGTAAGTCTAATGCCACACTTTTTTTTGTAGAAATAGCTAGCTCTGTGAAATAAATTGGTAACTCTAGAATTAATCCATGGATTCCAGTGAAGGGCATGACTGTTTTTGTCTGTGGCAGTGTTATTTCCTTATTTCCTCCTGCAGTTTATAAATCTTCCCAACTTTATCATCAGAGTGAGATACATATCTGTAAAGAAAGCTGAGCGGGTATCTTGAGCTGACATATTTCACAGGACTCCTCTAAAGTAGGGTTCTGTGGCACCCAAGCAGTACAGTAGGTAAGTAGTGTCATTGGCATCATTTTATGGTGTGTGGAATAGATGGTTTTTTTCCCCTGTGTGGGGATAGCGAAGAAAAGGCCAGACAGTTTTGCTTCTCCAGTATCTATGTCTTTCCCTCTGGACACTTGGATCTCTCAAGATATCAGGAAATAGAGAGGCAATATAAAGAAAATGTTCTTTTTCTAGTGGCTTGACTTTTGGCCAGAATATTATCTGTATATAAACAATTTTTTAATATATTTTTTATTTTTTCAGAACCATGTAGCTGTAAAATACCATCCTGTGATTTTAGTCAGGTTTTGTGCCATGCAAAGCCTGGAACATTTGTACATTTTAACAAAACCAGCAGAGTTTATACAAAATTAACTTACTGTGAAAGCTCACAAACTGGACCTAGGTCTGAGGGCCTAGGACAGAGTTTTATGTAGGCAATTCTGAGATTCTGATAGAACTCATGGATATTTCTCGAGTAACCATGAGTGGAATTATTATAGTATAGCCGTGTTGAAGTAACTGCCTCTGATAGAAAGTTCACTATATACATCTTGGTTTTGTATTTGTTGTGCTTCTGAAACACTGGCTTTTATTTTAATTCTCATTTTGGATTTTGCTGACTCTACATGGTTTAGATTCAATGAAATTGTAAGAATTACATTGCTGCAGAACTTCTCAAAACTTGAGGCTTTGACATGATGTGAAAAGTATTTTATTTTCTTTTAAGAGAACCTAAATTTCTATCAGCAAGCACAGATATCTTTAATTGCTATATTTTCCAGATCGGTGACTCTATCATATTAGGACTGAATTTTTATATTAGCATTATTTTATACTGCTTTAATCCATTAGCTGCTTTGAGGCTTTTTGCACATGCAGTGTAACTACTTTCCAGTTGTGGCTTTCTGCCATCACTGAATTGCAGAGCATTAGTGCATATAGCTACTTTACTTGTTTCCTTTAGATTTCATTATTTGTTGCTTATTCAACCCTTCTTTGAAAAGCTACAAAACCTCATACCCTGAAGTCTGAATTTTGTTAAAGCGGATTTCACTATTGACAACAGATTATTTTAATCCATATGATATTTTAATCATTAGAATTTTTGTAGAACAAGAACTCTATGTCTTTGCGTGTATACAAGACAATCTTTGTCAGAGTTTAGCTGATTTATTTACCTATCAAAATATGAAATTGACTATTGCTGTGTTTTCTTTCGATGACCTCCTGGTAGTCATAATTGTCAATGAAGATTTAACAAGAATGAAACATTCCTAATAAAGGAAGCAATTAAACTATTATATTTTTAATGGTAAGGATCCATTTCAAAAGAAATATATTCGCAAAGATGAAAAAGAAGTGATTTCAATTATCATTGTCCATATATAAGGTAAGATGTATAACAATACATCTTCAACTTAACAATGTTGTTAACATATTAGTATGTTGACATGCCAGTATCTTACCTGGGGAGTACAGAACCAGCATGTTAACACAGACGTGAGTTAACCTAATAGTGTTAACATAACTCTGCACTGCTAATTTTAAGGTGTGATTTTCTTTTCCTCAAGAATTCCCAAAGGTTAACTAGTCGTTCATTCTCGTGCCCCTGAAAGATTGGCAAGTGAGCATGTTTACACGTGAGAAGATAAACAGAGAATTTGACATTGGTTGTCCATACCTGTGGGATAAGACAATAACTTATGGTAGTCTGTTCGTTATAGATGTTACCATTCAGTATGGTAGTCTATTCGTTATATTTTATACCACTTTACTAGTAAGTCTTTTAAGCTCACAATATCTTTTAGTAAGTTTATAAGTTTTATAATTTGTCCAAGAGGATATTTGTAAGGCTTAGAAGAAGTTATCAGGTGAATTAGTCATTTACTGCGACACTGCCGTTCACTTGTTTAGTTATTTGTGGTTTGATAAAATGAGTTGATACTAAAGTGGATTGTTCTTAATATTACTAAAGGAAAAAGAGGTAAAATAGAGAGAGAAAATCACTGCTACAGGCACTAGATTCTCTTCTGCTGAAATGAGTTGCGTATGAGATAAAAAAAAAAAAAAACCCTAGAAGATAACAAAGCATGTCTTGTTTCAGGTTAGGCAATGGTACTTTTCTGCCTTTGTAAAGGGGAACCTTGTTCTTAGTCTTTATGTATAATTTTGGAGGAATAGTCACCTGAGATGCAAGTATCAGTCTAGCCCTTAGTGTTCCTTCTTATCTGGAGGACTATTTAATTTTTTTATCTGGAAATCAACTGCATGAAGTGTTGAGAAGAGATGAGAAAGACCCACTCACAAAAAAACAGTAATTGCTGCCAGTGGATTGGGAGCACTGATTTAAGATGTGGAGGACACTCTAGGCTTTTCCAAGAAATGACTGGAGAGTTTTGATAAATATTCATTATTTTTACAGAACAGAACACCTGCAATAGGAATAGCTATAATAACGGGTCATGTGTGAGAAAGGCAAGGTGATTTAGATTGTGCAGGGATTTTCCAGCTAGCTCTGATCAAGCTGTCCTGTATTTTTCAGACACAATGTAGCTGTTTAGCAAATTTAAATAGTTTATGAAGAGCCATGCACTAACATGTTCAGTTTATAAACAAGATCATTCTCTCTTTGGAGTTTGCAGAGAAAGGAAGCATGAAAGAAGGGATTAGTTAGGACTGTCAGGGTACTACCTCAGTAAAAAATGACAGGATTTCCTTGCTTGGAGATTTAAAACGGAGCAGTGAAACGGAGCGAGGTCTAGGAAGGTTTTCTCATTATTCATTGTACACATGTGTGAAATCACTGTGTGTATGGTGGGAGAACAGGATTGATGCAGTCAGGGCAGTACAATTTAAGGAAGTGGCAGCAGAGCAAGAGCTGTAGAATGATTACCTAATTTAAGGCATCATAAGCTAGTTTTTGACCTGCTCGTGTGAATTCCTTGGCTTTGGAATTGTTCATCAGAGGAGTGGAGAGGAAGAAGGCTATTCAAGAGGACATTTGTGACTTTAATGTTCATACTGGGAGGTAAAATTTCCAAGGCAAAAGTTACATCCAAATACTGCAGCGCTTGATATTTTTCATGTTAATGTATGACTGAGAGTGTCATGTTTTTCTGAAGTAATAGGGTGTCTTTTCCTCTAGAGAAGTTGTTCTTTATTTTATATACAGGCATGTCGCTCACAAGAAGATAAATACTGCCAGTAAGGACAATCAGGGAGGTGTAAATTTACTAGGATTTTGTTGGGTGGAAATGGAGAATGTATATTTGTTGCAAGAGATGCTCCTAGGTGATAGATCCTAGTTTATAGTGCTGGTTATAGCATCTGATAGATTCTGGTATGCATAGCAATGCAAAATAGGAGTTGAAACAAAATCAACCAAAACAAAACTATGAATGAAATGCTTCAAAATATGTTTTGCAAGAAATTCTGCCTTTTCAAAATGGAGTTTGCTATTAGGAATGTGTGGGATATTTCTGTAGAAAAACTGATCCTATTATCATGTACTGCAAACACAACAGCACCTTTCCAAAACATCCAGATTATGGTTTTCTGATGCATCCATTACTTGCCTGACTGAAATAATATTTTAGTACTAGTCATAGAAAATAATTTTTGACTGACGCTTAGTACACATAGCTTCTAAGTTCTGATACAGATAATGAAAATACAGCATTTCATAA